GAATCCATATTTCAATAAAATAAGAACTAAAAGCTCATTTTCCAAACTGAGATCATTTTTTTCTTAATGATAAAACCGTTTCCAAACTGATATCACTTTTCAAAATTTATAGAATGTGCCATTTCCAAACTGAGATCAGTTTTATTTCTTTAATTATAAAAAGTGATCTCAATTAAGAATGAGCCAATGATTTGTTTACGTTCACACTTTTACTGAGTATCAAATTATTGATTGAGTCTGCTAAACATCGCCTTCATACTATTCAGTACATAGAACCATGTGTGTATAAGTTCTTTTGTGCATATGTATGAACAAGTCTATCTGACATCAGACTCCAATATATGACAGATAAGACTATTATATTATTTGTTTTTATAGATTAATAAGCATAAAAAGTACATTAATAATTATCGATATAGAAATATAAGAAAATGGTATCAATTATAGACTAAATCTTCGATCGATGAAATCATTCAAAATACATTATTCTGTGTACAAAGTTTATGATCTTTTTTCGAACAATGCCATAGATGAAGATGTGTTTTGAAGAAAAAGCTCTGCACGGGTATAATTCTTACACTATTTTTCACTCATAAAAATAGTCGAATGTCATGTATTCGGATAACATGACGGATGTTGAGTTTTGATAGGTTGAAGGATATGTAAACATACTTTGAAACGATGAGGATGGGTTTCTTAGATCTTTGGCCTTCAAATTATTTGATTTATCGAGCGATGCAAAATGCAGAGGTGGGCGAGTACACACTTTTTCGAGTATGGGTACGAGTATGAGTATTTAGTGGCGGGTACGAGTATGAGTATTTAGTGGCGGGTACAAGTATGAATAGAGTACAAAACAGTTTTACGTGAGTATGTACTCGAGTACAAACCTTTTTAGAAAAAACGTCGGAAAACTTTTCGTGTGATGATAGTATATCGATCAGTCTTTGAAAATTTGTACTCAAGTATTTACCCGTACTCGTCCATCTCTGGCCTAATGAGCATAAATTTTTTGTATATGAGATATGAAATTTTTATTGTGCGATGATAGTCATTAAAAATGGTCGACAATGTGAAATAATCCTCGCTTTTTGATCCTATGAGAAAAGAAAGTTAAGAGATCGAAAAATCAAAACATGGAACAGAACAGACAAAAATTCTTCCATTTTGTCGTTTTATGGTTAGCACAATTACCCTACAGGAATCGGAACCTACGTAATAACTATACGAAATATTTATACTTTACGGTTGGAAAAAAAGAAAAGAGATATCTATTCTTAAAAGTACAAATTATGTACTCTAACAAGCAAAAAACAATATCTCTTACATGTTAACGAATCTTTATATTATAGAAAAACATCATACTCGTAATTAGCATGAAGAACTGAGTAGAATGAGTCATGCATTCACCTTTTAGTATCATCAAATGGATGGTGTATTAAATATTAATCGCTGTTTCTCTATGTTCTCACTATTCTGGAGACGTGTAAAGGTTTTTGTGTAAAAGTGCAAAGACTGAGCTACAAAACGTGCATGATACAAAATTTTATTGAGAAACACCACTAAGAATATTAGAGCAACATTTTACTAAAGTATATCAGGAAAATTTGTTCAATGGTATTAAAATAATCACTTCTTATTGCAAACAAGTATATGAAAAAACAGCCTTATTATATACCACTCGAAGAACATTTCATCGTTCGAACTCATCCTTAAATGAGAAGAAAACCGTTTCAACGAAGTTACATAGTGGACATTAGTATGATGCGCGTTTTGTAGCTCAATCTTTGCACTTTTCCACAGAAAGAAGTAAAATCATATTGTAAAATCATAACTCATATTGATCTGTTTTTTAGGTGAAACTAAGTTGTGGAATATGTTCCAGACATCATCTTGATCTGTTCTTGATTGAAAAAAGTAAACTATTTAAAGAAGGCTATTTGCATGCAAGTGGATGTATTCCCAGAGATATTTTAATAAATGACTATCCATGAAATTATCACTTATATATAATATGTTATGGTATGGACATCAGATTAATGATTGACAACTTATCGTCAGCAAATATCTGGATCAAGATAACAAATTAAATACGTTTATTTTGTGATTATATCAAGTTTCTTATCAGTTGTATTCGATGAATGCAATTAAGAAAAATAATGAATTTCAACTATTTTTTACTATGTAAGGATTTGTCCCATCAGTCGACAAATCAGTGTGGTTAGTGTGCTTCCCGATCAAGTGTCCTATTGTCATTGGCTATATGCAGGAGATCTCTTTGTCTCGCACGATACATACAAAAACTTTGAGATTATTTTACGATAGTATCAATTACAATGATAAGTAAACACAGGATAAGCAAAAACATGGCACTCATCTTTATATTTAAGTATCACTTGCTATGCCTGGAAAATTACAGAAAACTAATTGTACATTTTTCTATGTTTAATTTCACGCATGTCTTTTCCGTGTTATCGGTCATGTGATACTTAAAGTAAATAGATTCAAAAGTAGACTAAATATTAGCATCATTTAAAAATTGTTTTGATTTTCCTACACCGAAAAATTTATCAAAGTGTGCGGGAAAAAAATTCGGAAGAAAGAAACTTTCACGTGTTTATCAGACTTGGTTATGTAAGTGAACTGTCTGTCTCCTTAGCATAAAAAATGTGAAGTACTGTGTTTATATTTCAAACAGTGTAAATTTAGTTCTTAAGTTCATGTATCATCCTTTTTCTGATTTTATTTCAGATTATTATGTCCGGTCGAAGAGGAACGAAAAAATTTCTTCTACTAGCCACAGTGGTGGGTGGTGCTGTTGGTGCTTATATCTATGCAACGAGAAAACCATCATTGGTGTTTGATTCGAATCCAAAAGATAAAGTGAAAGCACCCATTACAGCTCCAGATGGTTTAGATCCAAATAATTTTCGTCCATTAACATTGTCAAAAATTAATGATATCAGTCATAATACAAAAATGTTTACATTTTCATTTGAGGATCCAAAAGCCATATTGAATCTAAAAACAGCATCGTGTACGGTATTCAAAGCAAATATTGATGGTAAAGATGTTATTCGGCCCTATACGCCTACGACACGTCCGAATACACAAGGTTATCTCGAATTTGTGATTAAAAATTATCCACAAGGTGTTATGTCAAAATATGTGCACAATTTGAAAAAAGGAGATAAACTTGAAATTAAAGGACCAAGTAAGAAAGGAAGAATGTTTTTATTTGTGACAATAAACTTATACAGATTCCGCTTACTTACTAATTTATTTTTCTCTTTCTAGTTCCCAAATATGATTATCAACCGAATAAATTTGAAAACCTAGTTTTAATAGCTGGTGGTACAGGAATAACACCTATGGTACAAATAATCGAAGAAGTTCTCTATAATTCCAAAGATAAGACAAAAATAACACTACTTTATGCTAATGCATCAGTTGATGACATTCTGTTAAAAGATGATCTTGATAAATTAGCACAAAAATATCCTGATCGATTCAAATGTTATTACACTGTGGATAAACTAACTGATGCGTCACAAAAAAAGACATGGAAAGGTGATACGGGGTAAGTATTAGAGCGCGAGTGTCTATCTATAAAAAAAAGCATACCTTCTTCTCGTACCTTTATTCTCATCTGTAGAATTGAACCACATTGCTGTGATTTTGGTCAGCTTATCAAATGTTTTTTTTGTTTTAGTTTTGTTACAGAAAATATGTTGAAAAAATGTATTCCTTTGCCAAGTAAAGCAGATGATGAAAGTCTTTTGGTTATGGTTTGTGGTCCACCAGGATTTATGAAATTACTTTCTGGTGATAAAACACCCGATTATAAACAAGGTGAATTAACTGGTCTATTGAAAAAATTAGGTTTTACAGAGAAGAATGCATTCAAATTTTAAATAACAACAACATTATGTATCACTTCTTCTCCGTCATTAAATATAATGTTTTTAAATTTTAAAATATCTTCGATCGAAAGAAGTAAAATAGGTTTTTCTTTTAAAACCCAATTAAACTCATTTTTATAATACTATGCAACTAATCTTTTCTTCAGTTTTTGACAAAATAAATCCAGTTAGCGTTACATTATTCCGATAATTGAAAACGACTTCTCATTAGTATTGTATGGATGTACACACACATCGATAACAATGAGGTTGGAAAAGAATGTGGATTTTCTCGCTCTGGAAAAATTTTCAGATTGTTTGATGAATATTTTTGTCTTTTTTCACCAGAACAGAAAGTGTCTACTGAAAAACGAAACACAGAATAGCTCAATTTACTACAAGTAATATTATCTACACGCTTAGCGTACCCTAACCGAATCTCACCCATCCGTTCAGTATGATTAAAATACATCAGAAATAAAAGTGAGAAACAAGATCACGATTGAAAGGGAAATAATCCCTTAGCCACTGAATTTCTGTTTTATAAAATATCGACAGTAATGGTCGTAAGCACGTAGAATACTTTCGTCAGATAGGTCCTGTAGTGCACAAGATGAATACATTCGTCATCCAAGCATAAGGTGGTGCGTTCAAACCTCTCCTGATCGAATATATCATTCTTATTTTGTCTTATCGGACGACACTTGAGTGTGTGTTGAAGATAAGATACTCAAGTCGGATCGAAAAGTTGTTTTAAACTATCTTGAATTAAGACATATTAAGATGTCTTTGGCACACATAAGCATCATCCAGTAAGACATTTCAAAACAATTACTATCCATTTCAATGAACAATGTAGTCGGTTGTAAGTTGAATAACTCCGGATAGGAACCAGCTAGAGACCTGCGGTTTTCAACATTCGAAAGAGAATAATATTCTTTATTAAGAAATATCGAAAGCTGGTTGGTCAACAATTGACCAATCAGGTGAGTTTTCGCTTGACATATTGGGTAGTGCCTGGAGAAAAGATTCCCCGTTGGATTTGAAATTCTAATATAACCATTCGATAGAGAAAATTGTTCTCTATTGATGTACACAAGGCCTAGCTCTTTAGCTTGTGCTGTTCAGGAAATATAAGTAGTTTCTTGACAGCCCCGATTTCGGCCAGCTGATCTTGGATCACTCCAAAAAACCTCGAAATATAGGTAATTTTTATATTCGGACGCTATGTCGCGCTATGCGGCGTATTGAGTCGATATTTCAAAAAAAGTTTAATCTAGCGAATTAATTTGCTTCAAAAGTGAAA